TGTGTGTGTGTGTGTGTGTGTGTGTGTGTGTGTGTGTGTGTGGACTGCAGGCTCCTCTTATCAAAATGCATCAGCGGCACCATGAATCTACAAAAACATGTTGCGCTCTGAAGTGCACCCTCAAAAGCTAGTCATTTGGTCTTTGAGATTCATGAGCAAACAAGCCGACAGGAGCTCAGGGATATTTTTTTCCATGCTCTTGAGATCTCTACATACAAATATCTGAAGGTTTGCATCCTATAAGTATACACCCTTTTGACGATAGAGAAAAGCGAGGCCCTTGTAATGTTTTTGCAGGGATACGTCAGAGCTGCCTGCCACATTCGCCTCCAACAAGCTGCTCTGCTGCGATGAGAGACGTCATCCAGGAAGTGGAATCATTATTTTATTTCTGAGCCATAATATCCAACATAGCATACACATTCATTCCAAGTCTGCTTTGCATTGAGAAGCTGTTGTTTTTCTGCTGAGAACCATTCGTCAGTTCCATTAAAATGCAATCACTTATTCGTTGAGTTAATTGCAGATGCCATAAATGTGAGATTAAAACAGCTAGATGATAGTTAGAGAATCTTTCCACTGAAATCAATGCTGCCATTACGGTATTTAATCAAGTCATTTGCAAAAGCAGGGCTTGTGTTACGCTGCCATCCCGGGGTGGCAGTCACACCTCAAGGCAATGTTTGGAAAGTGCACTGGCAAGTTGCTGCTTTCTGAAAAATATCTTACAAGCAATGCACACAAACTTGACTGATGTTAAACTCGTGATTTCTCTCTGTGCAGGTAATGGGTATGTCTGGTTCAGACGTTTTCTTTAATGTAAAGAAAAAAGTAGGAGGCAGTGAGCAACATTGCAGGCAGAAAAATGGGACTGTTTGTCATCAGCCAAAAGATTTCAGTCATTCTTTTATGACCTTTATTTTGAGGTCCATATTTTTATCCGTAGACTCTAGCAGGGGCAGCACAATGGTGCGCTGCTTAGATCCGAGAGAAGAAAAACTCCCTAAAATCAAGGATTTAGAGCAGACTGAAGTCTGAGCTTTACTTCAACATATCCCGATCTCATCATCATTAGAAACTATGCCCATCGTTAATATGAGCATACACAGCTGAATTAGTTTACATGTAACATATCCTTGGATTATATTTCTTATTATGTGACAGTAGCACTGGGTCGGATTTCTGACTACTCTATAGCTGCAAAACATACACAAATTAGATCAGGCTGTTTGTTTTAGTGTGTGAATTGGCACTCCTCTAGTATATCTTCAGTTACCGCATGTTACCCACGAGTCAACATTGGCCATGCTCTCCTCTTTTATAGTCTCCGAACAAGTCTGCTTGTAAGGTTTTCTAAAAAGCCACATCTAAACAGGAAAGGTCAGCTGTCTGCACTTATTCTGTCTGCTTCAGCAAATAGAAAACTTTTTTTTTTACCCAGATGGACATGCTCACTAACCCGTGTTTTAGCACCGGCTCAGTCCCGGCAGAATCTGTTACTTCTTGTTCTGTTGACTTTTTATGCTGTCTGTAACACCACAATATGCCTCCATTTGTCAACATGAAAGTTTAAAGGAGACAGAGTAAGTAATCCCTATAACCCCAAAGCTCAGGCTTTAGACAGTTTTCAGACAAAGCCTCTGTTTCAGACAGTTCTGATCTACCTTCTAGGTCAGTGAGAGGGGATATTCCTAATATGGTCATCTCAGGAAAACAGGTCTGGCCAGGTACACAGAATTCCCACCCATTTGTTGTTCAAACTCTCTGTTAATAAGGGACAGGAAGAAAACTTGCTTAAAGAGAGGGGATGGATGGATGAACTTGGGGTTATTTTGAATCGTGAATCATCCAGACCTACTCTGGTAGAGTCCAGAGTCTCCCCTTTAATATACATTAACAACAACATCTGACTTTTTCTACAGTAACAGAAATCCTTCTCTGTCTGCATCAACGCAAAATTCTCTCTCCCTTATCTGTCTAGCTGCTGATAACACCAGCGTGTTTGCAGAAAGTCATCGTGCCGGATCGTAATAGGATTTTCTGTTACAAGATGTTATTAAATACAAATGCTTGAGAGAGGCCCTATCACTTGAGTGTTACTTTGAAATACTAGGAGCAATATTACTGCTCATAGATTAGGGATCAGTCTATGCCATGTGCTTCCTGAGAGCTTGCTATTGTACACATGCAAGTGTGCACAGCCTTCTGTGGAAGGAAACCATTATTTGACTATGAAAAGAAGAGTTTGAGCTCATGTGCAAGTTGGTGGATTCAGATTTCAACCACGTGCATCTCTGTCTTCATTTCTTTCAGGTGTACCAGTATATGCACGAAACAATTACAGTGAATGGCTGTCCAGAGTATCAGGCCAGGGCCACGGCTAAGGTAAGAACTGTGTTGGAAATTTGGCTCAGCAATAAAATCATAATATATAATTACTGAAAGCTGTAAGTAATGACTCGGGAGCTGTCTTTTAATCACTTTACCCAGTGATTTCATTCTCATCATTTCATTTGGCCAAAGCTGCCTGAAATCAGCAAACTACATCCTTTGATAATGGCCCTCATTAAGAGTGTGTGGGTCATCAAGCAATGACACACGAGTGCCAGTTTTCCATGAATAAAACCAAAGGGTTGCTGTTAGTCTCATGTGCTAAAAGGCTGTCTACCAGATTCACATTTATGACGTTTCATTTCTTTATCTATTGAGAGAGCACACACATAAAAGGCAAAACAAGTTTGTGTTTACACGGGATGGGATCAACTAACATATTTTACATCCTTTTTTTCAAACCATTTTCTTTAACTTCCAGTTTACACGTATATTTGACCACAGACAGAATGTGCAGATGGACATGCAACTAGCTGTAGGCCAGAGTTAGCTCATTGATATAAATTACGAACATTTTATTAATTTGTTTGTTTGGAAAGGTCTAAAATTCTTCTTTAACCTGATATACACTGACTGGCTACTTTGTTAGGTGCTCATTAATGAAAATATCTAATCAGCCAATCATGGCAACAACTTAGTGTGTTTAGGCATGCTCTAAGCCAGCGGTCCCCAACCCCCGGGCCTCGGACCGGTACCGGTCCGTGAGTCGTTTGGTGCCGGGCCGCGAGAGTTGAGGCTCAGGTGTGAAATGTATAGTTTTCAGGGTTTTTATTGGTTTTCAGCGTTATTTTGTTATCGTTTTTATCGTTAACTCGGTTTTCCTGGGTCTTTTCACGTGTGTTATGAATAAATCTTCTTTTTTTTCGGTACTGGTACTAGTTTGATTTTGTTGTATTTATCCGCGACACCTTAAAGGCCGGTCCGTGAAAATATTGTCGGGCATAAACCGGTCCGTGGCGCAAAAAAGGTTGGGGACCGCTGCTCTAAGCCACCTGCTGCAGTCCAAACAGAGCATCAGAATAGAGACAAAAAGTGATTTAAGTGAGTTTGAAAGTGACACGGTTGTTTTTGATCTGAGCAGTTCATAAACTGCCGAACTACTGGAATTTTCCCACAAAATCACCCCTCAGGTTTACGGAAAACAGTCCAAAAGAGGGAACAAGAAAAATCCAGTAAGCAGCAGTTCTCTGGGACAAAATGCCTTGTTGATGCCAAAGGTCAGGGGAGAATAGCCAGACTGCTTCAAGCTGACAGGAAAACAGTAACTCAAATACAACAAAAGTATTCAAGTATCTTCCCTTCTATCAATGATTCAGGCTGCTGGTGGTGGTGGAGAATGGTGTGGGGCATATTTAGCACAATTTGGGCCCTGTGGTACCAACTAAACACTGAATAAATGAGTTCATTGTACTCAAACGGCCTCCACACTCACCAGATCTCAATCCAATAGATGTGATGGATGTGACGGAATTCGAGATTCTCACCCTGGCTGCGCAGCCGATAAATCTTTATCTGCAACGGCGTGATGCTATCACGTCAATATGGAACAAAATCGCTGAGCAATGTTTCCAGCACCTTGTTCAATCTTTGCAATGAAGACAAAACAGGAGTTTGCATTTCAAGGTAGAGGTGTCAAAAGGTTGAAAATACAGTTGGTCAAAATGCTGTTAGTCAGTTTTTAAATTGCGATTTAAGAACTGACACTATGTTCATGTAGGAAAAAGGTATATGTTAAGGCGTTGTATATGGAGAGTGTTGGGAGTGCTTACGGCAAAAATAATTTGCAGTATAATCGATCATTTCTGCGTAGGGACTATCAGAAGGTGGTGCTGATGTATTTAAGCGGCTGCTGTAGAGTTGTTGTTTGAGGGAAAATAGCACGACTCATAAGGTCGAACAAAGTTGGAATCAATACTGTCAGAGTACACTTCACCAGAAGAAAGACAGGCATTACAGAACCGAACGAGCTAAATGTTTATCTCAAAGGCTGAAGTAGAAGCTCTTCATCCTTGACAGTCATCAGTTACTTAATGTCTTTGATTCGAGCTGTAAATCGGTCTTTAATTATGACTAATAGTCCTCAAGACTCTTCCAATCAGCAGCTGCTGGATTCTCTTCAACTCATTCAACTTATTTCTCTTATGGAAACACAGTTGTCTGACTTTACCTTCTGAATGTTTGCATTCACGAGCTTTCATTTAATTACAATTCAGCACCCGGAACAAACAGAGCTTTTGATTGAGAGGTCATAAATGTCATGGATGCAAGTTAATTGTTAAAAAAAATCATATTTTTTATGCTTTGGTTTATTCCACCTGATTATTTAAGATGTCCAACGATTTTTTCTTCTTCTGCTGGCTATTTATGAAAGGTCCCATCCATATCACAGGTGAAAGAGGTGCACTGCGTGAGTAGAATAAGCAGATTGTGGTATTCAAAAGAAATGAGCTTGACCCGCTTGACTGAAGCAGGACGTTTCATCAGCACATCACAAGCAAGAGACACAAGCTTTCATGAAAGAAGATAAAGAGAGGGAGAGATTGCCTGATTTAAAGTGCAGAAGAGGAAGAGAAGGGTGGGATGCGATGAGGAGCACTCATAGAGCATGTCCTTCATTGGTTCAGTGTAGAGTCCACTCCTCTCATCGCCGCGAGTGGGTGGAGGACGAGAACAGAAAAGGATGACATAAACAAAGGGATACAAGTCTTTGTGTATGAACACAGAGAGGCTTCAAACGATGAGAGCTGCTTGCCAGTCCTTTTCTCATTTTGTTTGGCTCCACTAACGCTACACCCCCAGAATAGTCCTGCAGAGTCTGGTAAAATACAATTCAATATCTGTTTAAAAGAATCACTCAATATTTTAAGAATTACATCTTTTCACTGTTTTACTTTGAGTTAGATAAAGAGATCAAATCCTCATACCTGCTGTTAACGATTGAGCTAGAGCTGGGAGGTGGTTAGCAGGGGGAAACAGCTGACAGTCACTAATACTGTTCGTGTTGCATGTGTCAATCTATATAGAAAGACAGACATTTGTGGGAGGCATCTTTTAAAATGAAAGGATTATGTCCTGCTATAGCTGGAATGCTCTCATGAGAGGAAAACCAGGCTATTGGGGGCCCCCAATTTTACAGTGACAGGGGTCTCCAACTTAAATGAGCTGTAGGCCACTGCTGGCACTGTCATCTCATGTGAGGGACACTTTAGTGTTCAAGGAGTACAAAACAAACATGAAAACACCCACAAATGTTTCAGAAAATGTAGTGTTGAATTTTTAATATTGTATAACAAGACAAAACTGCAAATGCGAACGCAATTTTTTTCTCACTTTTAACTAACTGAAGCCTTTCATTGAAATACAAACTGGTACTCACTTTCTGGCCCGACACGTGGCATCACAGTTTTGTTCGTATTTAACAAAATAAAAATGCAGACATAAGTGTGCACATTAGTTTTTGACTGCTAGCGAAAATTGTTTTCTTTACAAATAACATTCACTGATCTAACACAGCCCTCAATATGTTTGTACTCTCTGCTCATGTTGCCTTCGTATTAAGTCATTTTTTGCTTTTTAAAGAACTTATTTTTAACATTGCACTCAACAACAAACAAATCCTTCCTAACAAAAAAGTAACTTCACGGGCCAAATTGCATTCTATTTCTTCACGTCAGTATAGCAAGTAGGGGTGACGTGGGCCGCAAGTGGCCCTGGGGCTACGAGTTTGAGACCCCTGACTTAAACCTTCCATAAATAGACTGTACAGAGCATTAAAGATATCCCATCATCCCCCAAGTGGGGCTAGTTGTGGCTGTAGAAGGGGTTACAAAGGGGTGCCTCTTCTAGCTGCTTCTAGTATAGTCTTCTTTTGTGTTTTTTTGGCTCATGTAAACTGCAGGGAGACCCCAGGGAGACTAGCCATGTGACTGAAGTGGAAGGTAACTGAAATATACAGTCTTTTGGTGTGGTACAGCAAAAGACACCAAACAGTTTAGTGAACTGAGTGAAATAAACTAAGGAAAAAAAGAGAAACTTCACTAGAGTAGCTATTACTGCTAAGCTATTCAGATACGTTTAGGGAGTAAAGAGCGAACTTTTTCAGGTCTCTTATGTAGTCAGCAGTTGTCTGGACCGTGAATTCCTGTTCCATTCATTGGTAATTATTTTCAAATCTGTTGAATTTAAGGAAATTGAAACCAGACTGAAATTGTCAGTGTGGTTTTGACATATGCAACCTCAACCCTCTTTTATTTTCTAAAAGAAGCGTTTATCAACATGCAACCAGCGCCTCCTTATGGATGATCCCTCACTTCCGTTTTATTCCATTACGGTAATAACATCCTCGATTTAGCGTCTTAACGTGCCAGAGCCGCCAGGAGTTCACAACAAATTTGCTTCAATTGCGTTCAGTCTTGTGCCATTTCACACACTTTCTCTACATTGAAGCTGTCGGTAGTGGTGCAAGGCAAATTTTCCTTTTCCAATAATTTCCTTAAATATAAAATGTGATGTTGGTTAAAATGTCTAATCCTTGAGAAAGTTCCCCATACTCCCAGTAGGCCTTTTAAGGCTTTCCAGTCTAATCATGTAGTCGTCTGACTCCATAGGTTTCTTGTCTAAATTGTGGCAAGAGTAAGTGTATTTCCCAACCTGTCAAAATATTTTTAAACAGGATGCACTAAATATGACACATTTTTAAACAAACTCTGTACAGGGTTTTATTTTTTTCTTCTCTCAGAGGGAAGGATTCTCTGTCAACAAAGACAATCGTGTCATCTTTTGAAGTATCCTGAAGTTTCTCGAGTGGGTTCCATTGTCTGATCTTAAAAATAACATCTCATTAATGATTAGAAGAGATGTTATTTTTAAGTCTTTTTCTATGTCCCTTTTTTCTCTTAAGAACAAAGCATTTCAAACGCTCTCCCTCACACTTTTAAAAGTTACTTCTTCTAAATCTGTAATAAAAATGCACAAATTCATTGGGCAATTAAGCACACAGCTAAGGGTTTGAAGTGGCTTAGCTGTGGGGATCTTTCAAACTGGGAACACTGGATATTTTTGAAAGTGCTTTACTCCCTGCAGAGATATCCACAAGGACCACAATTGCACATAATCAGCATCAACATATGGGGAAAGACATTCATACTGTATTGCAGTGAGAATGAACTGCAACAGTGATGAAATACATGACAGAGTTTCGGTTTATCTCGAGTGCTTTAGTTGGTGAGACAGAAAAATCTGCAGACATCCGAGATTTGAGTTTCACTTGAACAACTCAATTCACTTTGATCGCTTTGTTAATTTAATCAATTCAGCCTCTAATATCTGGCCTGAGGCTTTTATTACTGATCTTAAAGGAGGCGGAGATTATTAGAGCAGCAGGGGGAAAAAAAGCAAAAAAACAGGGAGGTGATGCTAAAATGACTTTAGATACTTTAAGCCAGACTTTTACAGTGTTGCGTGTCTACCGAGAATCCTCCAGCAAGCGTTTCATTTAAAATGCCCCCCGTGCGTGAGAGGCACCGGCCATCTGCCAGATTGTTTTTCATTCACAGAAAGCCCGATAAAGTTGTGAAGGTCGATGCGCTGCAAGGCCCGGGTGGCGACGGTATGCATGCTGAGGAGCTGCTGCTTATTTAACAGCAGGTCAGGGAGGGTGAGTGGGAGCAGCAGAAGAAGAAAGGCGAAGGACAAAGCAAGAGAAGGAAGGAGAAGGGGAAGTTGTCATAATGCAATAAGCAGATTAATAGGCAGCGGGAGGGGAGAGAGAAATGAGGAGTAATAAATGTGGATCTGAAGATGCATATGAATATGGAAGAGATTGCAGATGCGGGGATGATGCCTGGAGGGAGCCTCAAAGACCTCCAGTTGCCAAGCTCCTCGTCTGCTGCTGGGAATTTCGATTCACATCTGCAAAATCAAAACAGAACTCCCCCCACCCGTACTTTCTTATCCTTCCTTTTCCCCATCTCGCACACCATAAATGATGCTGACTTGACAGCGAGGAACCTGTGGCATCGCATCTGTGGATCTTTGGGCACAGGCTCTCTGTTCACCTGCCACGAGCTTTCCCAGCTCGGCTAACAAGCTCCTCGGTGCTTTGTTGTAAATGTACAAGGAGTGTGCATCTTGGCTTGTGATCCAAAGGAACTTCACCCAGCTGGAAGGGATACACAGGGTGGAAGTGAGATGTGTTAATCCGTGTGCTTGGAAAGACCAGAGAACTTCTCATGTGGAGTCTAAATCCCAAGCCCAGACCAAATCCTGACGCTTTGTTACGGCCGTCGTCGCTTAAATAAGAAGGTGCGTCAGAGGTTTGCGAGCAGCTTTGCAGTCTCTTTGTAATACTTCTAAAATGTGTTCTTCCTTTGCTTTTATTTTCACACTACAGAAGAGAATGAGAAGCTAATGTAAGCTGCAGAGCTTTCAAAAAGAATTGCTGATTTGATTGAAGATGTGGTTTGCAAAAGCTGCAAATCAGATTTCAGACGAATATCTTTGCGCCGTCTATAATGAGGGCACTATTTAAGAAGCTGCTGCGTGCCTCTGCCTTCTTTCTCATCCTGATTATGTTTTTCTCTCCACTGTTTAACAAAAAGGAGAAGAAATAACTCACTTCTTGCCATAATACTTGATTTACTCATAGAATGAGACATTTACTAAAGTTTTTTTTTGCATTTCTTGGGAAACTGACCTGGCACAGTTCAGGCATTCACTCCACTTCTTTAATGTGCACTAATATCTTTAATATCATACACATAATGCGGAACATTAGATTGTATATAAAAGGACTGGTATTACGCTGCGAATGTAATTATTCATTGTGAAATAATAATACAATAATGTGCCGTCAAATCTCTCGTAGTAATTTTAGATATATCGTACTCCCCTTCAAATGGTTCACAATGGTTTGGTCCACACCTCTACTTTTCAGAGGCGAATGTAAAATAAAGGATGTGTGAGAGACCTTGTTCTTTAGAATAAAACTT